TTAAAAATAAAAAATAAAAATTTTATATAAATAAAATATATAAAATTTATATAAAAATAAATTCTAACTCATATGTAATGTTTTATTCTTTCATCTAAAAAGGTAATGCTTTTTTATAAATTATATTTCTCTTATTTATCCCTGTTTCTATATTGCACTAGTTTTTTTTTTTGAACAGTGAGAAACTTTTTGTTTTTCTCCGAGGAAAGGGAGGGGACCTGGGATTTAATCATAGGTCTCATTAGTTCTACGCACGTCCGCAAGGGGTGGCCAATAGGCCACCATGTGCGGGACCTATATTGCACTAGTTGAGGCGTGTAGGCGTGGAAATTGTTATTTTGTGTAGAGCAAATTTCCTGTTTGTAGTGTTGTGTGGGACAAACTGTTTCTTTTTCTTTGGAATAAGGGAAAACTTTTAAAAAAACAAAAAAAGATCACATTTCCACTTAAAAAGGTTTAAATCTCAATAGAAACTAAAATTTTTAGGGCGCATTACTAACTCACCTGAACTATTAGTGCGAGTGGGATAGACTGTTCGCAAAATTTCTCTTATGGTGAAGGCGCAAGCTCGTGGAAAAGGTGCTGGAAAATGTGAGTCCCACAATACCAGGTTGTAAGAAAAAAAATAAAAAAAGATTTGCAAATGTCTGACGGTCTTGCTTTTAACGGTCAAAAACACTCCGTTAGCCATGAGATGTACGGAGGGATGAAATTTAGCACTTTTTGAATGGTAAAGAGAGGACATGTTAAAGTGAAATAAAGTAGAGGAGAACACGAGGCGATTTCATAGTATAAAGATTAAATTGAACTTTTTAAAATAGTATAGGGATGACAGTTGCTTTAATCCACATTTGTATTTATTTATTATTATTTATTTTGTTTTGTTGTTTTAGTGTTTATCTCGTGGGTCAGTGGGCTCCGGGAATTAGATATTTGTGTTTATCTCTTTAAGATTGGACCTTTTAATTAATTAATTAATTTATTATTATTATTTATTTTGTTGTGCTACAGGAGATCAAACACAACTTAGACATAAGTCCAATTAAAAATCGGTAAAATCTACTTTTAACCCCTTACTTTATTAAATTTGAAAGTTTTAACTTGTTACCTTATATTATGATATTTTTAATTTATTATCTTACTAAATTTATAAGTTTTAACTTTTCATCTATTAAAATTGAAAAAAATAATCCTCATTTTATACTGACTGTTAATTCTGTTAGTTGAAAGTAGATTTTTATTAATTAACAGTAAATTAATAACCAATTAATAGAATTAACAAAATATTATAAAATAATTTTATTAACTGAAAAAGATTTTTATAAGGTAATAACTAATTAATAGTCAGTTAATAAAATTAATAAAATGTTATAAAATAAAAATTATTT